GCCTCCGTCCGCCCCTCCGGCTCGGCGGCCCCGGCACAGCCACGGGGGACCTGGAGAGGAAAGAAGAAGAGAATATTAAGTATATTGTAAAATAAACAAAAAATAGAACTTATTTTTATTATGGAAAGTGACTATTTTCATCTTTTATTATATAAATATATCACACCGTCCGCGTATATGTACCATATAGTGAGCTATTGTTACTGAGTTGTCTTGTGTTGTGGATTTGTCGTGTTTTTATAAACAGCTGTTAAAAGTTTTAAGAGAAAAGACTAATAAAAATGTTTTAAAATGGAAGGATAAGAATAAAGAAGTGAAAGCCTGTGTGAGGAAGAAGGAACTTTTTATGTCGATGAAACAGGAGGGTGTCAGCAGAAACTGAGCTCAGGAATGAGGGGAGACGGGGGAGGAGACGTGACTCCTTCTCTACAGTGTTCAGTCCTGGCTGTTAAGGTCCCAGATGCCCAGTTCTTCCAGGCAAAGCCCTGGGGCACGGGCCTCCTCTGTGACCCCCATCCCCCTGCAGACCCCGCTCCTCCTGCCTGAGTGGCCCTGGATTCCACTGCAAAACTATCTGAACTCGGGCTCTTTTGCCAAAATTTAAAACAGCTGCTCTTTCCCTTCCCTTCCCTCCTCAGGAACTGAGTCCCGTGGCCTCTCCTCCCTCCAGTTTGGGCTGTGACCCCAGGAGGGCGGGAAGCCAGGGCCGGAGCCAAGCCTGCCCACAGCCCTGGCCGGAGTCTGATGCTGGGAAGTCTTGGAGGCTCTTGCTCTGGGGCACAGGCCTTAACCGGGCCATCCAGGCACCGACATAGTGACAGAGAACCCTTGCACGTCTGGTTTCCCGTGCACATCAGCGCTGCCACCGCGCCCCACGTTACCCACGGAACTCCTGCCCCCCCCACCCCCCACCGGGAAGGGCAGAGCAGCAGAGCCCACATCCCGATGAGGAGAGGCCTCCCCGCCTCTGGGACCTGCCGCAGGCTTCCCATCTGCTGTGCAAGAGCAGCCGGAGGCAGACTCCACGCTCCGGTTCCTCCCCAAACGGCACAGACACGGAGATGCGGGCCCTGTAAGCCCAGCCAGCAGCCCGGCCAGAGAAGGACAGAGCTTTCCTGCTGTTCCTCCTGCTCGCGTCGGCCTCGCTCGCTCCTTGTTCTGCTTCCCGAGGACCCAGAGTCTAAACAGAGCGTCCTCCGTGTCGGGAATGTGAGCAAAAGCGGCCTTTGGGCCCTGCCTCTCCTCCACCTCAGCTGCCCCTGCCACCCTCAGGCTGGGCCCCTCGCACCAACTGCCCACCTCCCGTCACCCAGCCCTCCGTCCCCGTCCCTGGGAGCCTCCCCTGTGGGGGTTGGGGAGAGTGTGGACCCCTGCTCTGAGGGCCCACGGATGAGCCTAGGGGGTCTGAGAGGACCGATGGTGGACCGAAGGCTCAGAGCGTCCAGAAGGGAGGAAGGAGCGGAGGGAAGATGGAGGAGCACAGGCAGGTGGCACCAAGCCCACTCAGCCTGCCGGGCCCCTGCCCTCCGGAAGGACTCTCGGGGGCTGTGGCCTCCCTCTTCCTCCCCAGGAGTCCAGGCCTCTCTCTGCCCGTCACTCCTGGGTCCAAACCCGCGTCCAGCCCCCAATCACCCCGCCAGCCAGAAGGACCAGGTTCTTTCTCTCAGGGGGGCTGGTGGGGGAGGGGAGGGATTTTGAGCCTTCCTCTCAATTTCGGAAGCCCTGACTTTACCAAGTGCCAAATGCAAGGCCACTAAAAAAATCCACCCCCAAATGAAGCTTTTCTAACATGGGGAGATTAAAATTCTCCTATTTGAGCAACCAAATTCTCAGAACAGGGAGCCCCACAGGGCAGGAAGAGTTTGGTTGGGAAATTTTCAAGCTTAATGGGTCAGTGTTTGCTGGGGACACATGTTTCGGAAGAGGGGGGACGGGCCCTGTCTGCCCCTCCGCAGGACTCAGGGAAAAGGAAGGGAGGGTCCTCCTCCTGTCTACTCTGAGGGGCTCTCACGTGACTGATGAGATGATGGACTTAAACACTCTTGTAAAGTGTAAACTAAAAAACCTTGCATGTAAGACGCTGTGGTTATTATTACTGTTGTTGTTGCTATTGTTGATGTGCCAATAGGTCCTCTGTGAAGCCGGCTTTGCCTTTCCAGTCTCATAGGCAGGAACTCCAGTCTGACACATCAGAGAGAGGAGGACAAGGAGGAGAGGGGCGAGGGAAGGAGGGGAGATCTCCCAGGGCCAGCGAAGGAGAAAATCTTCTAGGGGAGCCCAGCACAGCCGGACAGGAATGCTAACCCTGCCCTTCACCGCAGACAAATCTACCACCAGATGAACCCAGAGGCTCCGCAGTCACCGCTGCCTTTTCCAGGAGCAGAATCCCTAGTGTCAACTGGCCTGTCCCTCAAAACTCACAGTGTCCCCGATAGCAGAGCTGAAGGAGCCCACGGGGTCCCAGGGGGGTGGGAAAACCGAGAATCAGAGAGCGGAGCATCCAGATCTGAGACCAGGGTCATCTGGCAACTTAACGCCAGAGGCAGGAATAGAGCAGGTGCCTCCCCAGTGGGCACCCAGGCAGAGTGAGGCCTGAGACAGCCCCGGGACAGCTGCTAGGTGTCAGGAACGCACCCCGCCCTCCCCCCAGCCAGCTCCGGGGCACGCGACGGCAGGAGGCTGGGCACTGTGGGCTGGTGCACTTGCCCACGTTTCCATGCTGGCTTAGACGATGCCAGGGGAGCACTGGGGAAAGCTGATGAGAGGTGCCAGCTGGCCAGGACCAAGGAAGACAGAAATGGGCATTTGGCAAAGCTTATTTCTCTAACTCAACTACAGGTTCTTAGAGGAAACGTATTAAGATGTTTTTAAAACAATGTTATAGTGCCACTTCCCCAGTATGAATAAAAAAATGTGCTTTTCCCAACAGACTGTCATATTCTGATGTCACTGAAATAAACGGATGGGTCACAGGCAAGCTCTCGGACGCTCTTGTGATACCATAGCTCAGCCCTGCTCTGTGCTGTGTTTTTATTTTATTCCTGACCTTCACACTCCCTGGGGGAAAGATTGCTGCATGTATGAAGTTTGGGTTAAGTATGTGGTGGAGTTAGTGAAAAAATTGGTTTTTCGGACAACGAAGTGGGAACAGAGTTCCCAGACATGGGAGCCGAGACGCCCATGGCCTGGGTCTGCCGGGCGCGGCGGCCTGGTCCCAGACCGGCTGCCGGGGGTCAGGGGGAGGAAGCCCCTCCGTTCATAGGAGACTCGTGGGCACTTGAATGCCTGATTAAACTTCCTCCTCGGTTCATTCCTTCCACCGGCATCTCCGGAACCTCCGCTACCTGCCAGGTGAGGCCTTGGCACTGAGACCCCCCAGGATGGTCAGGGCCAAGTGCTTGTTCTCCTGGAGCTTAACCTTTAACCTGTGACTGTGTGTCAACCAGCAAATCAACCAAGAAAGACAACGGCAGATAATATAATCGAGAGGACACGGCAGATAATATAATCGAGAGGACAGGCCAGCACAGCTGGGAGGAGGCCTCTCTGAAGAACTGGGACATGGCGGTGGGGCGCAACCCTGGGAAATGGAAGCAGGAGGAAGCGTGGCCACAGCACTCGCTAGCATCTGCCCTCACGAAGGCCATCACGGGAGGCGGTGCCCGCACCTCCGTGCCAGAGGTGTCGATGCAGCCAGTGAGCGCTCCCAGTGGGCTTGTGGGTGAGGGGAGGGGGCAGAGCTCACCCCTCAGCTCCCCAGCCCTGGGCATCCTGGGGAGCCTGTGGCCTCGGAGCATGAGGAACGCCAAGGGTCTAGAGGCCACCACTAGCCACCCCAAGGTCTGCAGAAAAGGACCTGCACAGATCAAATCTACCTGTAGCCCGGAGAAGTTACCTGGTTAAAAGGGCCTGCATAAACCCAACTTCCAATGGGAGACGCGCAGGGGGTTCCCACTGAGAGGATTTTAGAGACAGGAGAAGCAGGCAGGGAAAAGGGGGGCCCACGGGAGAGGAACACATGCGTGACTGGCAGCGACACCTCCAAGCCACCAGACTGTTACAGGAATGTTACAAGCGAAGGGGAAGAAGGGCGGGCGGCACCGGTGAGCTTTGAAACTTTGAAACCGATGCCACACAGGGGAATGGGGGACGGGGCCAGTGGGAAAAGCACGGGGGACAATTAGAAAGTGGAATGAACGGACAAAGAAGCTGCCGGCATTTATACACCCCTAGACAAAGACACTCACGGGCTCTCCGTTTTCATTTGGGAACCCCTCCCTGCGCGGGAGCTTGTATACGCTTACAATCAATTGCCACACTTTTGCTCAAAATTCTTTGTCCGCGAAATTTATTCTTCAGACTTCATGAGACAAGAGTTCCAGCTTGCCGTTCAAGGTATCGCAGGTCAATGATATTTTTAAAACTCTTGCATCCAATCCGAAACTCTCAAAATAGCCGGGAGCTCCAAGTCCGTGAAAATCTGCACCCCCGCCACCCCCTCCTGGTAAGGCCTGTCCAGCCTCTTGGAATCTCCTGGAATCACACAGCTCTAGTCACAGGGCTCTCACTCCCATCCTAGGACTTTTCACAGCAATTACTATTGGAACTATGCTTACCATCTGTTCCTCCATAACCACCGCTCTTTGCTCTCGTTCTGCCCTGAGAGCACACCAAACCAGACCAGACGAGGCGAGACTGGCTGCCCGGCCACAGCCCTCCTGAAAGGGGGAACACTGCTGGTCCCCCTAAAGGTTTCCGCCAGGACACGGCTCCCAGACCCCTCGCATCCTGGCTGCCTCCTCCTCTCGCTCCAATACAAAGTCAGATCTATTGCTCGAGAATCTCTTGATTTCAAGTGTTAGAAAACAAAATCAATTTGATTTAAGAAAAGAAAGAACCGAGGAACGGAGGGAGGGGGGGGACTCAAAATGACAATGTGAGCATGGTGTCTCTGTCTCCTTGGCATCGCTCTTCGCTAAGCGCCCCCTAGAGGCCTGAAGCAGAAGAAGCCGGTTTACCTCTCTGGAGCTTAGCGGCTCTAGTGGGGAAAGGAGGCCAATAAAAATGCCAAATATCAGCCTCATTGGTCTAGTTTGGGATTATATTGCCATCCTTGAATCAATCATTGTGGCCAGAGGAATGGAACGTGCTGATTGGCTGCACGCTGGACCGGGGGCCGAGAGCAGGAGAAGGGTGGTTTCCCAAAGAAAAGTCAGGTTATGTTTAAAGGGAGTGAATGGATATGGGGCAGGCAAAATGCACAGACCCCTTCCAACACCCACAGTCCGAAGCCCAGTGATGGTTTGATTGTCATTCTTTCTGTCCTGCCCAAAAGAGGAAGGTGGTTTCTGGGGCTCCGATGAGAACTGGGTCAGACTTGGATTTAAGTTCAAATTTTTCCTTTTTCCCTCCTCTCACTTCTTCCTCACCCACTAACATGACACCCTCCTATTGAAACCAGAGGCAACGAGAAAGGAGACACGTGGTGTGCCAAGGGGCCTGGCCTCCTGTGAGCTCCCAGAACCTTGCAGGCTGCCAGTCCCAAAGACACTGCTTTCAGGGGAAAGGGGACTGGAGGCGGTGGGGTTATCTTGAGGCACTCAGGGGGATCACGGAGAAGGAGCTGCTTCCAAGTGACCAGTTTACACAACTCGCTTCCTGGCTGGCCTCAGTTTATGTAATACTAGAGGCCCAGTGCACGAATTTGTGCACCAGTGGGGTCCCTCGGCCTAGCCTGAGGGATCGGGCCGAAACTGGCTCTCCGACATCCCCCAAGGGGTTCCAGATTGTGAGAGGGCGCAGGCCAGGCCGAGGGACCCCACTGGTGCACAATCAGGACCGGGGAGGGACGCAGGAGGTTGGCCAGCCGGGAAGGGACTGCAGGAGGGCTCCAGGGCGTGTCTGTCCCATCTCACTCAGTCCCAATCAGCTGGACCCCAGCATCAAGCTAGCCTACCAGTTGGAACATCTGCCCCTTGGTGGTCAGTGCACATCATAGCAAGCGGTTGAGCAGCCTTAGCATATCATTAGCATATTATGCTTTGATTGGTTGAACGGCCAACTGGACGACTGGACACTTAGCATATTAGGCTTTTATTATATAGGGTAGATGCTTCTGTACAGGTTAGTGATTTCTTTAAAAAATCAAATTTTGGTTTAAATTATTGGTGTAAACCATATTATGATAAAAACTAGCTACCATTTATGAAGTATCCTCTATTCACAGAGATATTTTAAAAGTCTATGAAGTAGATTTTATTATTTCCATTTCATAGATAAGACGGAGACTCAGAACCTGCCCAAGGTTCCAAGGGCGGTCCCTGAAGGCAAGGATTGGAACCCAGGTCTGCCTACCTCCAAAGCCTCCAATGTGTTTTCTAGCAGCTGCTCTAAAGCAGCAGTTCTCAACCTGTAGGTCGAGACCCCTTTGGGGGTTGAATGACCCTTTCACAGGGGTCACCTAAGACCATCGGAAAACACATATATAATTACATAATGTTTTTGTGATTCATCACTATGCTTTAATTATGTTCAATTTGTAACAATGAAATTGGGGGTCACCACAACATGAGGAACTGTATTAAAGGGTTGCAGCATTAGGAAGGTTGAGAACCACTGCTCTAAAGGAAAGGAATCTGTGGCAATGATGTTTATCACATTCTTGATAATGCCTCGTAGTATCAATCCTGAGCAGGTAGCTTTTTATATCCAAGTCTGTTTATCGTAGAGTACACCTCTGGGTCATTTTGATGGTTGATGGAAAGCAGTACTAAATACTTTCAACACTGAAGTTACAGACACAGTGATTTTGCTCATCCCCTCAACCACGCTTGTGCTCCACCATGTCCTCCAGGTGCAAAGGCCCTGAGGGACCTTAGCATCTAAGAAAACAGCAGAAGGCCGGTGAATGATCAAGGGAGAATGTGGGGAGACAGACATCAGAGAGCCAGGCCAGTCCTAGTCCACAGGCTTAAACAGGAGAACGTCAAGAAAAAGCCCTCACTGCCCGACAGGCGTGGCTCAGAGGTTGAGCGTTGACCTATGAACCAGGAGGTCACGTTCAATTCCAGGTCAGAGCATATGCCCAGGTTTCAGGCTCCATCCCCACTATGGGGCGTGCAGGAGGTAACTGATCAATGATCCTGTCCATCATTGATGTTTCTAATCTCTCTCTCCCTCTCTCTTCCGCTCTGAAATCAATAAAAAACGAAAAAGAAAAAGCCCTCACCCCAAATGAAGCCATTATCATCATCACTATGATATTGATCATAAACAACTGACTCAAACTTACATCAAGTGTAGAAGATGTTTTTATAGTTATGCAACACAATCTCTGGATAAATCAGTCGTGCCATGCAAATTCAGTTTCTACACAACCAGATTGCTTTGCCCAGGGCACCCTGTTGAGAAATCCTGAAGCAACTGCTGGAAACAGAATCCCTTTCCTCTCCCTCAGGTCATGTCAAGTATGTTCCAGCTGTGAGTCACCAAAGCCATGGCCCAGCTGGGGCCGGGGTGAGCAGCAAGGGGGAAAGGCTCCGATTTCTCTGCACTGTCAGATCTGGCCCGGCCTGTTTTTCATGCCAGCGCTATGGTGGGTCAACAGACCTGCCTCATGCTGAAGTCACTGGAGCCAATTAAACAGGCAGGACAGGACTTGGCTCCCGGAGAAGGAAGGAGGGAGGGAGGGGGTCATGCAGATTTTCCTTTCTGGAACACCAGCGCTACCAACTTGGTATTGGTGTCTACTTTCCTCCTGATGCCATTGAGTTTTGGACACAAAAACCCAGTGAAAGGGGATCAGACAGATTGGGAAATCAAAGGCAGAGGTAGACGTTGGGCCTTTGGCTTTTATCTAAAGTGGTGGTTTGCAGATGGGAGCAATTTTCCCCACCCTGTCTCCACCCCTAGGGCCCATGTGTCGAGTGTTACTACCATCTTGTGGGTAGAGGCCAAAGATATTGCTAAACATCCCACAGTGCCCAGGACAGCCTTCCACACGAAGACTT